TGACCTCAGGTGATCCACCTGCCTCAGTCAAAGAGTTGGGATTACAGGCATGAGCCATGGCACCCTGCCGTCTTTAGATCATTCCTACAAAGAATCAATCTTGAATTCAAAAGAGTAGCACAAAAGAAGTGATCCAAAATATTTCTGCTCCATAAATTCATAAGGACTAACACAGAGAACTTCTACCAATTAAGTGTATTTTGTTGATAAATACACATATATGAGCAAAATCCCTGAGAACCTTATGAACATGCATAAATCTATGTTCATCTGGAAAATATAAGTTCAAAATGACCCTAACATCCCATTCTATTTTTTATTCTCAAATCCTTACACTGAAGTCTTATTCACGTGTGTTTGTGCAAGCGTCAATTACCAACATGCTTCTTTTAACCACTCTACATTATCACTTCTCTGTGTATATTAGACTCATTTATTCTTTCAATGAGCCAGGTGCTGTGGAGATAACAGGTGAATACAAGATTCCTGCTGACAACAGCTTTAGCTCTGCAAGCTCTTTACCTTGTATATTCTTCTTGTAGCTGACCAGGATCAGGTGGAAAAAATTTTACGGCTAGGCGAAGCACCACATTCTTTGGCCCTATAACAAAAAAATTTAAACTTCACAAATAAGGTCGATCTTTGCATTTACTCTCTTTTCATACATTGCTGTATAACTGAGGTCATGCTTCCAAGTAGACTGTTAACAGCAAACCTTTTCAAATAATATTAAGAAATGTCTGCCCAGGTTTGGTGGTGTGCACCTGTAATCCCAGCCTTTAAGGCCAGGAGTTTGAGGTTGTGGTGGGCTACAACTGCACCACTGACTCCAGTCTGGGCAGCAGAGTGAGACCCTGTCTCTGAACAAAAGAAAAAACAAGGAAGCATTTCCTGTATATGAATTTATGAGTCCCAAGTACCAATGACATACTATAGGGAAATTTAAAATCTTTTGCATTAAGCAGGGATTACTCAAGAAAGCCTAAAAAGAAGTAGGAAATTGCACATTAAAAATTTTAAATATAGGCTGGATGCAGTGGCTCACATCTATAATCCCAGAACTTTGGGATGTTGAGGCTGGCGGATCACTTGAGCACAGGGGTATCAGACCAGCCTGGGCAACATGGTGAAATTCCATCTCTACCTGCCCCCCCCCCGCCAAAAAAAAAAAAAAACAACCCAAATTAGCCAGGTATGGTGGAGCATGCCTGTCCCAGCTACTTGGGAGGCCAAGGTGAGAGGATCGCTTGAGCCCAGGAGACAGAGGCTGCAGTGAGCTGAAATCATACAACTGCACTCCAGGCTGGGTGACAGAACGAGACTCTGCCTGCCCCACCCCTACACACACACACACACACACACACACACACACACACACTCTCTCTCTCTCTCTCTCTCTCTCTCTCTCTCATGCTCACTCTCTCTATATATATTTTTCCCCCAACTTATGTTTTAGGAAAAAAATAATAAAGTTAATTTTTACAGTGTTTTTTTTTTTTCTTTTCAGATGGAGTCTCACTCTGTCACCCAGGCTGGAATACAGTGGCACGATCTCAGTTCACTGCAACCTCCACCTCCCAGGCTCAAGCGATTCTCCTGCCTCAGGCTCCTAGGTAGCTGGGATTACAGGCATGTGCCACCAGCCCTGGCTAATTTTTGTGTTTTTAGTAGACACGGAGTTTCGCCATGTTGGCCAGGCTGGTCTCGAACCCCTGACCTCAGGTGATCCACCCGCTTCAGCCTCCCAAAGTGCTAGGATTACAGGGGTGAGCCACTGCGCCGGGCCACTATCAGTAGTAGTAATAAAAACATACTATTTTTGAAATCTGATTACTGTAAAGGTACATTATCTTAGTTTATATAACAAAGTTATTTTTTACTTTCCTCAGAAATCCTTGTTCTGATATGACAGTTATTTCTACATTTTTTTTTCAATTTATAATAGCAATACAAAAAATTATGGATGATTCAGACAACTACAGATTTCATATGACACAATTATAGAAGAACTGAGACGTGCTACATGATTTAATTTTAAAAATTCAATAAATAGATGAACACAAATAATTATCTTGAGACTGAGGTGGGAAGACAACTTGAACCCAGGAGGCTGCAGAGAACTGTATTCATGCTATTATACTCCAGCCTGGGCAACAAAGTGTGAGACCCTGTCTCAAAAATAATAATAGAATTGTTATTACTATATTCACAATGACAATTATGTTTATAACTGTAAAACAGTATTCACTATTTTATTAAAAGCTATTTAAAAGAAGAATCCCAATGTCTTTTCATAACCAAGGAAGAAAATTCGTACTTAATTTTTGCATATTGGTCAAAAATTAAGATGATATCAAACAGCATATACTCTTACTTCCAAATGAGAAGCAAGTCACCTAGAATCTTCTGAGTTAAATTTACTAAAACTAAACAGCAAAATGGCTTCCAAGTTTATCTGCTGTTGGTGATTACTTCCTGCTAACCATACACAGTGTTGACAATGGACATTTGAACATGTCATTTAAACATTCCCAGGACAAAGCATCTTAAACAAACAGATTTTAGAGAGTTAAACCAAGGACTTACTTCGTATTTGCTTAATGATGGGTTTCATAGGTTCAAGCCAAATCTAAAGAAGAGTTAACAGAAGAAATCCAATCTATTAAATAATGTCTCTATTTAGCAAGTATGCTATAAAAACAAAAATGGTTATGATTAAATAAATTTTTACGTCAGAAATATTTGGACTCTACCTCCCCTTTTGCAAGTTGAATCCTGATAAAACAAACGGTACAAGTAGCACAGCAATGCCTGCTTCAGGAAGCCTGGGAAGATATTAAGAGTGCTGTATTATACTGGATACCTCGATTCAGTTGCTGCTATGTACAGAATGGGTCCCAGTAATTGTTTCTGTGTATTTGTTAAAAACAAATAACTATTTGGTACTACTGCATTTGTAAACAAACTGATGAGAGGGCTTCTGCAAAAAAGAGTTACGTCATGTCACTAGAATAGGAAACTTGGATAAATCCAGTCACACCGCCAAGGGTATCCAAAAGGCTGGACAGAACTTAATGATGCTGACATGCTTTTTATTTGAACTAAAGGGTTGGTGTATGTTTCTTTTTTTTTTTTTTTTTTTTTTTTTCTGAGACGGAGTCTCGCTCTGTTGCCCAAGCTGGAGTACAGTGGTGCGATCTCAGCTGACTGCAACCTCTGCCTCCTGGGTTGAAGCGATTCTCCTGCCTCAGCCTCCCAAGTAGCTGGGACTATGGGCATGCGCCACCACATCCAGCTAATTTTTGTATTTTTAGTAAAGACGGGGTTTTACCATACTGGCCAGGATGGTCTCAATCTCTTGACCTTGTGATCTGCCCTACTTGGCCTCCTGAGGTGGTGGGATTACAGGCGTGAGCCATTGCGCCTGGCCAATGTACATTTCTTTAAAACAGTTCCATCTATAAATACTAAAACTCCACACTTTTTAAGGTTGCCTCTATTAAGTAAAATGAAGCATAACCAATTAAGTTTGCTACAAATCCACTTTCAAAATGATTTTCATATAGGATGTATGAGAGGTTGCTTTCATAACTTTTAAGAGAGTTTCCTTAGCACATGTGCTAACGAACAGAACAAAATTTAGGGAGGGTGTGAATTCAAGCTTGGATTAAAGGCAAATATATTATCTACAGCTAGCAATAATATATTCCAATAGCAAAAATATTTGACGCTGATAATGTGACAATTATGAAAGATCTTGCTGGTATCATCACAGCAGCTCAAAGGCTGCATGCCCACGCACTTCACAGGCATCCTACACATGCCTAGGGCCTGTTTCTATCACAAATCAAAAGCACTTACCCAGTAGGACTGAGTATTTTGAAACTCCAACCCGAAGTAGTCGCATTCCACCAGATTCAAACGCTTCCACACTTGTGTCAGTAATAGCTGGCCATCGCATTTAGGCTGTGTGGAAAGAGGTGGGAAAAAGAACAAGGATTGAATGACTAAACAGGAAGGGTTTATGAAAACTGTGCATAAAACTACTTCCCACACATACAACTTTATTTGTTGCTTCACTTTGTCTTCTAGTGCATAAGATTTATAAACAAAATAAAACAAAATGAGTCTAAGGTATTTGTGCTCAGAAACTGGCAACAAAATAAATAAAGCTAAAAAAATTCCTTCCATTTTATATTTAGTGTGTTTTTAGTCATAAATCTTTGTAACTTTAGGGTACAGAAACCATTTCTAGTTTTGGTAAATATTTTAACAAATAATTTTGATGTTTACACCAGGTGTGGTGGCTCACACCTATAATTCCAGCAACTTGAGAGGCTGAGGCAGGTGGGTTGCTTGAGTTTGTAAGTTTGAGACCAACCGAGGTAATACAGTGACACCTTGCCTCTACCAAAAGTTAAAAGATTTGCCAAGCATGGCGGTGCACATCTGTAGTCCCAGCTACTCAGGTGGCTGAGGTATAAGGACTGCTCAAGAAATGGGAGGGGGGGCTGCAGTGAGTCATGATCCTTTCACTGCACTCTAGCATGGGTGACAGAGTGAGATCTTGTCTCAAAAAAAAAAAATTAATATTTACTAAAAAGCTAAAGTCTTACAGTCTTTTACATAAAATCCCAGTACATATTTGATCAATAGGAAATTACAAGGAGTAAAAAAAAAATTATTTGGTAGTATTTTACATCAATGAGAAGAACGGTTTATAAAGGAGGTGGGGCAACTGACTCTTCCATTAAGGAAAACAATGGGCCGAGCATGGTGGCTCACGCTTGTTAGCCCAGCACTCTGGGAGGCTGAGGTGGGAGAATTGCGTGGGTACAGGAGTTTGAGATAAGCCTGGGCAACATGGCAAAACACCGTCTCTACAAAAAAAAAAAAAAAAAAAATTATGTATCAGCTGGGTGTAGTGACATGCACCTGTAGTCCAAGCTACTCAGGAGGCTGAGGTGGGAGGATCACCTGAGCCGGGGGGCAGAGGTTGCAGTGAGCCGAGACTGTGCCACCGCATTCCAGCTTAGGTGACAGAGTAAGACACTGTTTCAAAAAAAAAGAAGTAGAAAAATGGAAAAAGAGTTCTACTATACATTACTCACAAAATTCCAGTGGACCTAAAGACCAGAACAAAACAGAGAAGAAACTCTATAATCTTGGGAAAGGTAAAGTCTTCCTAAGCACAGCAAAAAGGAAAGATGGACAGATTTGACTAAATAAAAGTGAAAAACATCTGAATAGAAACACATTCAACAAAGTTATAATCTAGAATCACACTGAAAAAAGTTACAATTTTTTATTTTGCTCTTAATAAAGATGTACAAATGGTTATTAGGCATTTAAAAAGATACTAAATTCCTCTAATAATAAAACAGTGACATATTTTTCACCCATCAAAGAGGGTTAGAATGATGACACCAATATTGGTGTGTCTGTGAGAAACAGCCACTTTCACAGAGTGCTGAGAAGATTTAATACAATTTGTGAGGGGATAATTTGAAAATATCTTTCAATATTTAAAGTGTGGATTTACCTTTGCCCCAGCAATTCTACTCCTAGAACTTTTCCCTACAGATATTTTCATACAACTGTACAGACCTAAACACATTAAGGGCAAATTCGGTAAAGAATTGATAAAATATGCCTGGCATAGTGGCTCATGCCTGTAACCCCAGCACTTTGGGAGGCCAAAGTGGATGGATCATCTAAGGTCAGGAGTTCCAGTCCAGTCTAGCCAACATGGCAAAACCTTGTCTCTACTAAAAATACAAAAATTAGCCAAGTGTGGTGGCATGCCTGTAATTCCAGCTACTAGGGAGGCTGATGCAGGAGAAGCGCTTGAACCTGGGAGGCAGAGGTTGCGGTGAGCCATGAGCCGAGATTGCACCATTGCTCTCCAGCCTCAGCAACAAGAGCGAAACTCCGTCTCAAAAAAAAACAAAAACAAAAAAACAAAAACTGGTAAAATAATGACATATCCATAATGGACAGTTATGCAACCCTTAAAAAGAACACAGAACTCTCTATGTGTTATCATTGAATAAAATCTACAACACACAGTTTAATTAAGAAAAAAAAAGGGACTGGCATGGTGGCCTATGCCTGTGACCTCAGCACGTTGAGAAGCTGAGGGTGAGGACCGTTTGAAGCCCAGAGTCCAAGATCAGAATGCACAAGAAAGAGAGACCCTGTCTCTAAAAAAAATAAAAATTACAAGTGAAAAGAAAAAAGGCCTCCATTTCTATACAGTGTATATAATGATTCCATTTTTTTAAAAAACACACATGCCCCACGGATAAACTTCTATCTAGTTGTAAGTTTGGAAGGTTGTTCACTAAATCTTTAAAAGTAACCATCATTAAAGAACTGAGCAGAGGTGGAAGCAAGGGCATTCTTACTTCTTCACTTCTATAATGTTTGTTTGTTTGGTTTATTTATTTATTTGGATGGAGTCTCGTTCTGTCACCAGGCTGGAGTGCAGTGGCACAATCTCGGCTCACTGCAACCTCCGCCTCCTGGGTTGAAGTGATTCTCCTGCCTCAGCCTCCCGAGTAGCTGGGTCTACAAACACGCGCCACCACACTCAGCTAATTTTTGTATTTTTACTAGAGACAGTGTTTCACCATGTTGGCCAGGATGGTCTCAATCTCTTGACCTTGTGATCCACCCGCCTCAGCCTCCCAAAGTGCTGGATTATAGGCGTGGCCTGGCCTAAGGTCTCAATTTTTAATCAATAGGCATGTATCATCTTTGCAATTAACAAACAATATGTGCAAACTGGGGGAGGCAAATGTCATTGTTCCAAAGGACATTATGCTCCTTGCGGTTTAATCACCAGATTCTCACTGTGCAAGAAATAAAAACTTGCAAATCCATTGTAACAAAGAAGCATGCATAATAAAAGTACTGTACAAGGACCACCTCTTTAAAATGGGAAGGTGAGCTACAAAGTGATGTGACACTGTAAATACAATTTCTAAATAACAAAAGGGCAAATCTGGGTTGAACTTGCTCTGACATAATTGCTTAGGGCCTCCTCCAGTGAGAACTCACTCAGATGCCTGTGGGCATCTAGAGGAGGCCTGCCAGTGCTCCACAGGTGGCCCATCTAGAGTGGGGAGAATGCGGCTAGACCAGGGTTTCTGAGGCTGTTAACAAGTCAGAAACCATGAACCATGGAGTCTGCTGCACTAACTCACTGTGGCCCCAAACAACCCTACGAAGTTCTCTCAAAGACTTACCGTCTGTCCACAACTCTAGAACTGCCCTTTGCATTGCTGCTGTCCATGACCTGTTGATTTGTTTGGGAGCGTCTCTCCTACCAGACGGTAAGTTTAAAGGGCAGGGACTGCGTCTTTTCCATCCTAGTAGCTCTAGCTCACGGAAGGGGCACCACACATGGCCAGATTCCTGGACTGTCTGCCACTGCTCCCAATTCTGATGGCTGCTGTGGGAGGTGAGTGTGCATTTCAGGTGGCACTGAGAATATGAAATTCTCTTAGCTCTCCTCTCTTCTTCAACTACCTGGCTGCCCCACTGTGAGTCAATGGGGAGGTCAGGGTTCACAGTCCTACCTGAGCCCCTCCGCTTCCTAGGGTAGTGCAGCCAGGGTTTGCTTCAGGAGGCCTGCCTGACTACACTGATGAAGGCAATATACACTAACCGTGCAAGTGCAGGCATATTCACAAGACACCTGTTAACCAGCAAGGTCCAACACCCAGAAGAGGGTTTGTAAATATGGGCCCAAAAAGTCACAGTTACATGTGTATTCATAAATATACACACATACGTATGTATGTGTGTTTAAACTTCAGTGCAGGGAGGATGATCTTTTCATGAATGGTGCCAGGGAAACTGCATATCCATAGAGGAGAAAATAAGCACTGACTCCAACCTCACACCATGCACAAAATTCATTCAACATGAATCACGGAAAGGACAAAAAAGCTTGGGGAGGGGCAAATATTTCTCAAACAGGACACAAAAAACACTAACCCCCACCCCCAAGATACTGACTACCTGAAAATTACAACCTGTACATCAAAAGACACTGTTAAGGCAGGAAAAGGGCACACCACAAGCTAGAAGATATTTGCAATACAAAAATTTAACAAAGGGGCTGGGCATGGTGGCTCAGGCCCTGTAATCCCAGCACTTTGGGAGGCCGAGGCAGATGGATAATGTGAGATCAGGAGTTTGGGACCAGCCTGACTAAAAATACAAAACTTTTACTACTCTCTACTAAAACTACAAAAATTAGCCGGGTATGGTGGTGTGTGCCTGTAGTTCCAGCTACTTGAGAGGCTGAGACATGAGAATTGCTTGAACTTGGGAGGAAGAGGTTGCAGTGAGCTGAGATCACACCACTGTAATCCAGCCTGGGCCATACAGCGAGACCCCATCTTAAAAACAAACAAAAACAAACCCAACAAAGATCTTGGAGCCAACAAATATTAAGATCTACATATCATAAGGAAAAACCAGACAAACCAAGTAAAGATAAATGGGCCAAAAGACTTAAATAGGCATTTCACAAAAGAAGATATTCAAATGGCCAATAAACAATGAGAAAAGTTGGACAATATTACATCAAGGAAATGCACACTAAAACCACAATGAGATACCACTACAGCCTCACTAGAATAGCTGAGAATATAAAAATAGATAATCTCAGTGTTGGCAAGGAGGTGGAACATCTGGAGTCTCAAATACTGTAAATTTGTATGATTCTGGAAAACTGATAGTATTTACTAAAGCTGTACAAAAGTATAACCTATAACCTAGGAATGCCAGTCCTGGGTATAAACCCAACAGGAATGTCTGTTTATAGAGATCTAAAGACATGTTCAAGAATGTTCACAGCAGTTTTATTCATAGTAGCTCAAAACTGGAACTACCAAAATATCAATTAAACAGCAGAATGGATAAATGGTGATTTGTTTTTACAATGGAATACTGCCCAGCAATGAACAAGCAAGCAAGCCACAGTTATACCAACAATACTGATAAATTTCAGAGTACATAATCTATACATGTATATGATAAATACATACATATATGAAATTCACGATCTGGCAAAACTAATTTATAATGCTAAAGATCAAAACGGTGGTATTTTTGGGGGTCATAACTGAGACAGGCACAGGGAGCCTGTTCTACACCATTCTCCCATTCTCTGGGTAGGGATACATATGTGTTTACAAATGTAAAATTATCAAGCTGCACACATAAGATACATGCACTTTCTTTTTTTTTTCTTTGAGATGGAGTTTTGCTCTGTCACCAGGCTGGAGCGCAGTGGCGCAATCTCGGCTCACTGCAACCTCCGCCTCCCAGGTTCAAGGGATTCTTCCACCTCAGCCTCCCGAGTGGCTGGGACTACAGGTGCATGCCACCATGCCTGGCTAATTTTTATATTTTTAGTAGAGATGGGCTTTCACTATGTTGGCCAGGATGGTTTCCATCTCTTGAC